TAATGGCTATAAAGTAGAACAATAAATTCTTTGAATTATTATAGCATGAAATAAATTCTTATTTGATTTCCGTGTCTCGTGATTGATGCAAACAATTTTTATTTTGCATGAAGTTTCGCATGTTGACGTAACGTAAATTTACAGTGTTCGCATTTGCGCCGCCGAAATTTAGATGATCTATTGATCTTTCATACATTCTTTAAATTTTTCTATTTACAAACTAAATAACTGCGAGTGCAGTCTTAGATTCTATAGTTCTTAAGCTGCATTTTGAGGATATACGGAAATTGGGAATGGAATTGTCTCTTAGCACGTGTTTATTCTTTTATACAATTGATGGATTGTATAATAAAACTTAAATTACTATCATAGCTACACCAGAGTACCGAGAAGAGGGATGACACGTTCATCTGTGATTTTTGTTCATGAAATATAAAACCATACTTTATATATTTTTCGATCTAATATTGTTACACTTTTAATTATTTAATATTTAGGACAGCCACAACTCTGTCGTTACTGAATACACTGTATAAATAGGTTTACCTAGTATGCCGATTATGATAATGTAATTTCGGTCACACGTGTTTGCTCTCTAGCTGATTCGGTTGACCAAGCGAAATTCGACGCCAGTATGTCGCTTTTGCCTCACGTAGCAACAATACCATGGATTTAGAAAACGTGTTCGGGCACTGTTTAAACCAGTGTAAGTTTTCTAAAACTGGACTGAATATCTCGAATTATTTGGAAACGTTAGAGGGACCAATACAATGACAAAACTACTTTCTTATAATTTTTCCATTACTTGGAATGAGAAAAAAAGCAAAAGATTTTGATAGCAGAATTGACTTTTTATCGGAGCCTATAACAAAAATGTTAAAAATGCGTTTTGTAGATCTCGATCATTTATACGCATACTGAAATTCTTATCGAAATCGGTTGACGTTGTGAATTCAGTTTTTCACGACTTTCGATCAAAAACTGAGAAATCTTGAGATTTTTGGCATCTTTTAACGCCTGTAACGCGATTCTGCATTATTCAATTACATTTTCAGCATGCATACAACTTATATCAAAATCTACAAATCGCATTTTTTAAATTTTCGTTACACGCTCAGATGAAAAAATTAAAAAGAAAACGATTCTTTTTCATTTTCTCTGTCATTCCATGTAATAGCAAAATTTTAAAAAAAGTATTTTACTCATTGTACAGTGAACTAG